CTGTAGTTTACACTTCAGCTCTACACCGAAGCGAAGCGAGGGCGGGTCGCTCGTCTTTGATATAGAAATATTATGAGAGTTTGAGTCTCAGGGAAAGACATAGCATACTTTTAATGCTTTCCATAGACTACCTAACTACCACTTTTAATTGCTTTTTGGTATCACAAGGACCATACAGACATATATCAAGTAACACAAACTGACAAATTATCTCAGTAAACAATCTATTGAGAGTTGAGTTAATTGTGTATACATATAAAGTTATTGAAGCTAAAAGTCATATGGGTAAATTACAGTTTCGGGTAACTTTACCTGTAGCTGTCTGTAACATGCAGATTATAAAACCATTTTGTCTGTGTGTTAATGTTCGTGGTTATCTCGGAAACTACAAAAAAATGTCATGCAGATTTTTTCAAACAGTTAGATGATTTTTTTAAGGAAAGTTTGTATATAATACCTCTACATACCTGCACAAAAACAAAAAATATAGTCTTCACTACTTTTTAGGATTCCGTACCTCAAAAGGAAAAAACGGAACCCTTACAAGGTTCACTTTGTTGTTCGTCCGTCCGTCTATTTTTTATGTATCTTATGTCCCAATCCAGGTCACAAATTATATCCGTTTCTAATTTCATACAAATCCATTCTATTCTATTCTATTCAGTAGGTTTTTGCATGATTGAGGAACAAACAAACAAACTTGCACAATTATAATATTAGTAGGAATAATGCCGCCCTTGCTGGGTTTGACCTTCTTTGTTTGTGCGAGTCGGACTCGCCCATGAAGGGTTCCGTAGCAGCAGGTAACATAATATAAAAGTTCTTGTAGTTTGTTGTAATTTTGATCGATATTTTAATAATATTTTTTTTGTAACTGATTTGTATTTTTATTAGTTTTATCATTCTCCTATTTTAGAAGTTACAGGGGGTGGGACCCTTTACCACTTTGGAAGTGTCTCTCGCGTAAACTTTTTAAGCAATTACTTCGTCTAAGTCACTTTTAATGTCTTGTTCAAAGGAATTTTTACATATTTTTTTTATTATTTATACATAAGTTAAAATAACACATCTATTTTAACCGTTTTAATTTTCCTTATAAGTTCATGAAAAGCACTATTAGTATGACTTTTTCCAGGTTTTTTCAAGCTAATAGTTTCGCTTTAACAAAAATACTTTATAGTTCAATAATTCGCAAACGGATCCCTAAATCAAAAAATAGTTTTAGAAACCCCTAAGTAATTTTAAAATACCAATTCAACGATACCCCATACGATGGGGTAGACGGTGATAATATAATATCATCTCCAGGTTACATGTAGGGAAGCTAACCTAAAAAAATATTTTTCCTAAAATTTTATCTACTTTTATTCTACTTTTATTCGGCATGATTAATATACATATCTTGAAAAAATAACAGCTGTCTAGTGCTTACAGTCTTCAAGCAAAACCGGGGACGAACAAACAGACGGACATGACGAAACTATAAGTGTTCCTTGTTAGGACTAAAAAACTACTCGGCTGCGAATTTTCATTAAACAGTTTTTATCATTTCAACATAATTACGCAATTTATTTTTACCCTTCAAACATATGTACCTTACTTGCAACAAAAAAAAACTTAGTTTAACAATTATCGTATTAATAAATCACTAACATACTCGTAGTAGAACCAAAATTAGTATCGTCAAAAATGTTCCTACTGTAATAATTATAATGGCGTTGTGAATAGTATTATGGCCCAATTTTGCATTGCCTTTCGTCGCTCCAAGTATAGGTATAATTTGATTTAATATTTTTTCCTTTGTTTCTTTAGAAAATAGTTCTTTCCATAATTAAACGTTATTCACACTATAAGTAAATCGTGCCAAGGTTTTTAGAAAACGAATGAAATTTCAAACAATATCATGTTTACAAAGCCTCACGAAGATCTATTTGCCTTTACACAATTTAAAACGATGAATATAAAATTATGAATTCTGATATTTTTTTAAATGGGATTAGGTAGCTTAATTACATCTAATTATTTTTTCAAAGAAGGACGTTTAGGTTTCTGTGATGTTTAAAAAACTAATTATAACGCGAACAAAGTCGCGGGCAAAAGCAAATAAGTATCACAAGCGCAAAAATTATTCTATTTGTTGGTCTATTAAATGTTCACTCCAAAACCGCTGAACCAGTTAAAATTTTAGGTATGAAGATAAAGCAGATGTCTAAAAAAAACATAGCTTACCAATCATGATAAAATAAAATTATAGGGGATAATACAATTATAAGTTTTTATGGACTTTTTATTAATAACAATTATAAGTTTTTATGAACTTTTTATCAATAACAATTATACGTTTTTATGGACCCTTTTATTAATAACGTAAACTAACTAGCGTACACTTGCTAGGGAAAAGGAACATGCTACAAAGGACATCAAATTTCAGAAATATAAGTAAAGAAAATATACTCGCAAATGCGAGTTGGACTTGCAAATAGGTATCGGAAACTATATCGAATACAAGCTTTATCAATTTTATTATTTTTATTGTTTGTAGTGAAAGCAGCCACAGTAATGTACATTCTGATTCAGTCACAATTCACTACTCATAGAGAATATATTTTTTTTATAATGTTTCACGGTAAAATCTTCTATATGGATATACAAAAGAAATCCGTTATGGACTGATCTATCCACGCACAGCTCAAACCACTGAACGGATTGCATTGAAATTTTGCTTAAATATAGCTGTTTTTATTAACCCCTTTACGGGGCTGTCACTCAGGGCTGTAAATTGGGGGTTCAACATTTGTATGGAACACCAAGATCGCGAGGCTATTTTTTTCACGACGACGAAGTCGGGGCCACCCATTAGTTTTACATAAACAAAAATAAAATCGAGGTAAACCTTTTAACAAATTCCTCGCGTCTTTTAAACAAAACATTATTTTCCTTTACTTCCTTGTCCTTGGATTATTGAGACTCTAGCTTCGAACCAAGGTAAACTTGCTCTAAACTCAGCTATCTAGCGTCGAATTCCTCTTGAGATACTTTGCACAATGTTATTTATTAATTTCCGGGGATAAAACGACGTTAAGCAATTTCCAAGAGGTGGGTTTCTTTGAATAATATATGAATTTTCTGCTTTGTTTGTGTTTTCTAACTGGTTTTTTAGATTTATCATTTTTCATCCTTTCCGCACGTACTGCCTGTATTGTTATTAAGTCCCTATTGTTATCAGTTAATTTTTCTTCTGATAGAATTTTCAGATAAGAATTACTGAGAACATGTAGATCGGTAGACATAAAAATATACCTACAGATTTACTTAACTAATAAAATTTATGGAATTGAACTTTATAAAAAACTTTTTAACAAAAACAAATTACCGCTGAAAACACTGAAAAGCAAAAAATAATGAACCTGTTTTATTTAAACCAAGTTATTAACTTATTTCTTAAACTAATGTAAGTATACCTTAGTAATTTTGAGTCGACGCCTAACAATCAATGAACAAAGATCACTAAATTAATCTAAATTTAAAGGAATAACCAAATCAACTGAACGGTGTAACGTGAAATCTCGAGCTATAAACACAAGCATTCCAAAAATGTTAATGGAGCCGACTCCAAATTATTCATGTATACTTACATAAGTTTAAGAACTTAGTTATTAAGGTGAATTATTTTTTGGTCTTCAGATTTTTAAAAGACAACTCAGCATTAAAATCTGTTAGTGAATATCACCTCCATTTTGCTACCCTTAATAATAAAATCAGTACTTAGTATAGTAAAACTTTTGCATTGCAGTTATTACGAAAGGTTACACGTAATTTGAGTCAAAAATGCAGAATTTATTAATCAATTTTTATAAAATCCTTAGGACACTTTTAACTGTCGCGATTGCTGTTTTGCAATATTCATAATATTCCCGCTGGGGATATATATCGTAAAGGATGAATTGTGTGCATTGAGTAGGTAAAAAGATAATTCATCAACATTTTTGTAGAACAGTTGGAAATAAAAAATAACATACTTTACTTTGCGTATTTCATGAAAGATTTTTCAATGAGAATATACGTTAAATAGGCATTTTTTTTTAATTAATAAAAGACATTTTGCTTATCAAATTCCATGTCCTATTTAAAGAATGGTTTACAACCAACATTAGGTTCCTTGAATTTTACAACTTCTTGTTAAAGCTCTGAATGTATCTGAGTTCATTTTTACGTATATTAACTTGAACTTAATCATCATCATCACCTCTCGACTGTAATATAATTACTGTTTGTCGTACAGCACTTTACTGTTCGAATGGCAAATTGATTGATTATTACAAACATTGTGTCTATCATTAGCCTACATTTTAGATCCAACACAGACTTTACTTGGCCTACATATACTGAACCGTGCCAAGATTTCAACTAAAATCGAAAACTTTTGTAGGTTAGTTTGGAAATCACACCACTAAGTTGAAGTGGAAAATTAGGTACAATCATATAGGTATCCGAAAATTAGGAATTGATTTTTTTAACAACTCTCAACTCTACCAGTTGCAGGGTCTGAGAATTATGAGATTGGGAATATCGTAAGTAAGTACGTAAGTATGTCAAAAATTACTACTGTTTAAATAGTTCTCCGAAAATTATCTTTTTTTTCCATCACACACCAATTAACCTAGCTCCAAAGTAAGCACTGTAAAGCTTGTGTTATGGGATGCTAGGGTAACGGATAGAATACATATACTGTACATGTAAAAGTATTTTTATATAGACGTACATATTAAAACATCCATGACTGGAGTACAAATGCTCGTATTCATCACACAAACATCTGCACCCATCGGGATTCGAACCCTCTCGAGTCGGCGACACCATGAAACCCGGCGCGGCGTACAAACCACTCGGCCACGGAGGTCGTCCCTATCTTGTTTGTTCTTACAATTACAATGGTAGAGTTGCAAAGTTTATGAGACTGAGAATGTTACAAGTCTTGTGCTGAGTTTCGCATAGCTCACCTGTCCGTGGTTTATGAAGCCATGCCGGTGAGCCAGCTCGTCTGCGAGCTGTCGCCCGCCCGGCACATGCACAGCGAACTGGTGATGGTAGAATGGTACACAGAAGTCCAACACTGTCAGAAAAAAGACGCCCAGCGCGAACATCCCGCCCTTCGCGCATTGCACGATCCCTACCTATTTGAATTCCTCATCAATTATCCTAAACTACCCACAATGGGTAGCGATGTTCTTTGATTTTTCCAAAATTGCGGAACTCACTCGCGGTTCGTGATTCGAAATTAATTGCGATCGCGTTCTCTCTCAGCACAAACGTCGTCCGTTTCCCGTGACGTCTTCGCGAGGACTGACACTTCTCGACTGCCAGTTCCACCACCAGCTGGGGTAGTACGCATGCGCTCAAATTGGCGCCCTTTCTTCTACTCTAACGTATTGTGTGCATGGCATCAATTGACTCGTATTCTTAATTGGATCGAGGATCGAATGATGTTCCGGTGCCCATTGTTGTTTTTATAATGCTATTTTTATTGAGAGGTTCTCCGAATGCATTATCATAAAACATTTTCAATGTTTTCACTGGAACGTAATGGGCATATTGCGTGAAGGTTCGGTGTTTTGGTTCCAATTTACAAGTTATTTTCATCAATTTTATGTATAGAAATGTCAGGCATTTTGGTTTTGGTTACATAAAGATAAATTTGAGGGAAGACGCGCGTTTGGGAAGTCCCCTTCACATTACGAAAGACTTCATCCAAATAAATATCAACTTTAATACTTTTTGAAGTACGTAAGTGAGGGTTACTTTAGCTCGGGCGGGTAACTTTGTACCAAATCAGAAAAAATATTGAATTTGCCGCCCCATCAGTATCTCTTGGGTGACCGTAATAGTTCCAGTTGAAAATCACAGATAGCCATATAGGCGCGCAGTGTGGTATTGTTTTACCGACATCGTTGCTGTATCAACCTGTCATTGTAACGCGCGATTTTTTGTAACTGAAATAGTTCGCAAGTTCATGTGCAAACTTTCTCAAAACTGTGGTTTTCGGTAAGTTTACAATTTTTTCTTTAACTTCATTATTTTTGGGTAAAAACATCCATTTGTATATACAATATGCTAATGGTGATCTGTTATAAGGGTTACTTAACCCCAACATGGCTTAAAATGAGTTTTTTTCACAGAGAAAACTCAACGAGCTAAAGTAACCCTCTTTAAGGCCAACTTTGGCCCAAAATTAAAAAAATATTTATGAACCCTTATATATTATTTTTTCCTATTTTCGTATGATAACTTTGTAACTTATACTTTAAAGTTCACAATGGCAAGATATAAACGTGACATATTCATCACAAAGAGAAGCTACAATTTTATTTGAAAAAAAAGCGCACATTTTAGGTCAAAGTAACCCGCAGTTACTCGGTACCTAGATTTTTTTTAATCAGTAGTGCGTTATATCTCGGTTCAGGGTAATCAACGTGCGTTTTAGAATGAACCAATATCGAATTCGAATAGTTTGCGAGTGCGACGAAACGTCATTGTCAAGTTTTGTATGGAAACTTAAAAGCAGCGCTACAGCGGACGTAACGAGAACTATAAATCAGTACATATTCGACGTATAAAATCGAATTCAAAAGAAAATACATAGCCGCGTTATTTCTATGTATTTGTCGTATTAACTATTAATGAAACAACGCGGCCTTAGTCATAGAAAACCTATCATATACGATAGTTATTCAAATAAATGGTAAAGGTAATAATTATGTATACGTGTTGTCAAGACTTACCGTAATTATTTAAAAATTTCAAAACTTTTTTTTTTGCTCTTTTAGTTTTTTCTTTATTTTAGTTGCTCTTCCCATGTGCATGGTGCTTTTAATAACAAGGTAACTAGGTCAAGATGGATCAGAAGTTCGTTTATTCGCATTTTAAACCTTTTGTTATCAAGACGGCAGCTTTTTAGATAAAACTAAAATTGTGGTTCGAATTTCAATAACAAAGTTTAAACTACGAGTAATAGAAATTATATTGCTTTCTTTCTAGAAACTTTGTACAATCCACTAATTCTACAGGCTGGTCATTTATTTTTATACTAGTATTAACCTGCGTCACATTAGGAAGAGTAAACTTAACACATTTACTTTTACTGGAGTTTAGTTTTAATTTCTTCAAAAGAGCACAATTTACTTCGTCATTACAATCATGTCCTCTTCTAGCTTTAAACACTAAAGGTGTTATGAATGTCAGAAAATAATACTGTCTCACACAAATCTCTTGTAGAGTGAGGAAGGTCATTGATATAAATGAGGAAAAGCAATGGTCCTCATATGGAACCCTGGAGCACGCCCATAGAAATGGGTGCTCCTGTAGACTCAGCTTCATTAACAAATACTTTCTGAATTCTTGCCGAAAGATAAGACTGTATCAGACTAGCCTATTGCTAGCCTATTGCTACTTCCTTCAGCTCCAATAGTCCTATATAAGAAGCTTCATAATGTCATTTAATTGAGCGATGAGTATAAATATTCAGTATCTTTAATGAAAAGGGTTCGAATTTTCATAAGTATTTAATTTTAGGTAAAACTTGTGCACATTTTTATTTAGTCACAATATGCAATTTTAAAGTTCGGTGTTGTTGATACTTCAATAATGTTTTTTTAAACACTACTTAAACACAATAATACATAGACGAAGCGTACATAATCGCAACTAAACTAAATAGTACTGAAGAAACTTTTCAGTAAATCGCATCGTGTGAACCGGTCGAGTGCCGTTGTCTCAGCTCAGGCCTGGTTAATGTGGTGTACTATGATACCGGCGTGTGTTCCGATTACCATATGCTTAAGGGCACAAACCTCCAAGCAAAGCAAGAGCGCATGAATATTCAGGCTCAGCGTGTTTGCCTGTGGCCACAGCGAATGAAAACAGAGAGTTGTATACCCTAACTTTTCAGATTTATAGTCCATTATTCATTAGGTATACAAATAGAGGAAGGGCATAGCGGATTTGTCCCTTATTAATTTACCACAACCTTTGATTATTAAATAAATCAAAGAACACAACACTATTTTCTCAGTGGTATAGTTTTAGACCCATGCTGCATTGTAAGTAGGATTTTAGTAGTTCTATTTTTTTAAGCATGTAACTGCTTGATGTTTAAATCTAAAGAATATATAACTAGAAAAAAATCCACACGGACCAGGCAGCAGATGGGACTCGAATCCGCACCCTTTGCTATCCGGGCGAATGCACTCTCCTTGCTTGCGAAATTCTTCTGGCTCTCTAAGATTCTCGAGGATTTTAGTAATTAAAACTAATTGTATCTTATAAAGATAAAATATTTAAAAAAAACTATACTGTAAGTCACACGTAGCCAAATCCGGACTGTAAGGAGAGTGTCCCAAGACTCTGACTGGTGTGGAGCCCAGGAAGTCCTTCGTTTTGATCGCAGAGTGCGCGGGCGCGTTGTCGTGTTGAAGAAGGACCCCGTGGAGCCTGGTATTAGGTCGCTTGTTGCTCATTGCAGAAAAAACTTTTGGCAAGCATTTTGTATTAAACCATTCGGCCTTGATGCTGCTTTGGTCTCGGAGTGGAATCGAAATTGGGTACCCCGGCAAAGTGAAAAAACTAGCTATAAAAATTTTCCTTGCGCTCTTCGATCGTAGATCGTAGCCGTTGGTTCATTTTGAAACAGCCAAACTGTCGACTCAAGCTTTGTTTCTGGAAAGTATTGATACATCCAGGATTTGTCACCTGTCAGAATATCGTAAACGCGCCGTGACGAGCCTGCATCCAATTTTTTATCATATCACTGCACCAACCCACACGGGCCTGCTTCTGAGCTTCGGTGACATTGTGCGGCACCCAGCGGAAAACTGTCCTCCTCACGCAAAGGTGCTCGTGCAAAATCTTGTGAACACTTCCTGAACCAATCTGCAGAGTATGCTAAATCTCCTCGTACGTAATTCGTCTGATTTCTTGAATGAAATTTTTAACTGCACACTTTCTATGGTGACAGCCGCCGTAGGACGACCAACTCTTTGTTCATCCCCCAAAGTAAGGTGACCGCGTTTTAACTCGCTACACCAGCGAATTTAAAATAATTTAGTTCATGCATAACGTGTCACCCACCCCACTATGCCACCAGGGGTATGGCCAGTGGTATGGTGGTTCCGCAATGAGATTACACTGCATGGAGCGCCCATCCGTGACTGAAACTTTCACTGTGAAGAGAAGACTACACTGAAATAACGTTACCTTTTGGTGGCTGTTCTTATAAGGTACATAACCACCGACCAGAGTTAGCTCAGAACAAAGTTTAATTTATGTCACACGCACACATTGATGCAGCATTGACGTCTCGTTTACAGGTCAGCAGTTTTAAGCACAATTTATTCGCGATTAGAGACATGTGATATCAATATCAAATTTTAATAGCGGAAAGTTTAGGTAATTTTATATTCGATAATGACGACGAGTTATTTATGGTTACTAAGCTTCGTCCACATTTGTATCTGCATCGCGTGGCATCGATGTATATTATGATCGGTAGTGGACACAAGATGACACCCGGTATTGATATCGCTGTATCTGATACAGCCCGATCCGCACTAATCGCGTGTCTTGATACATCTCGTATCTGATACGCGTATCACGGTCGGTAGTATAGATTTATTTTGCTGCTGTATCATGAAACTGTATCGCGATACGATGCGTGATACACCGTGAACCATACTGCGTCGGTTTTTCCGCGATCATCACAGGTGATACACGTCATTTTGAAGAAGTTTGGACGTGAATGCTTTTGAAAATAAGTTGATATCGCTGAATCGTTTGCGAACAAAGGCATGTCTGAACTGTACGAGAGCGGAAAGCACACTGAAAAACAGACGTATCAGGACAAGATACGAGGATCGGAGGAAAAGTTGTAGCGTCCATATCTGTTCAGTTAAAATCATTACATTGACACTAGAATTACAATTATAATTTCTTTATTTGCATTAGGATAGGGGAACACAGGAGAACTTACAAATACAAAGTTCGGCCCATTCTGCCATTTACAATAGCATGCAAATATTTAACAATGCATTAATTACATTAATATTATTAATTTACATTAAGCCGTTAATTTCATATAGCAATAATAAATTCTTAAATTATAACAAAAACCCGAATTACAATAAATTATCGTCAGCAAAATTACAACTCTCAGCTTAGTCTTAATTTATGTCAATCGAAATTATTGAAATAGCTAACAAAATAAAATAGTCAATTAATAATTAAAATTATAGAATAAAATGTCAATCAAAATACAATAGAATAAAAATGTTTATCAAAAT